CCACGCACCACTGAACTCTGACGGACTCTCCCACTCCCCCCTCCCAAATACTCACATACAGTCACTTTAATCAGTCTAAATAAGCTCTTTTTCTCTTCTCCCACTCCCCACTCCCAAATACACACACACAGTCACTTTAATCAGTCTAAATAAGCTCTTTTTCTCTTCTCCCACTCCCCCCTCCCAAATACACACACACAGTCACTTTAATCAGTCTAAATAAGCTCTTTTTGCACTACAAATCATTATATCTGCACTGTTGTTTACTTCACTGGTTTGCACTCTATCTGCCGTGTGCTGCTTTATATATATATTTTTTTTTATATATATATTTTTTTACATTTTACCTTATTTGTATAGTTGTATTTTATATTTAATCTGTATATCTGTATTTATGTTCTACTGTTAGTGTTATCTGTATGCACCAAGTGTCTGAGAGTAACGCAATTTCAATTCTCTGTGTGTATGTGCTGTACATGTGGAAGAATTTACAATAAAGCAGACTTGACTTGACTTGACTTGACTTGAACAAACAAACACACAAACTCTGACTCTAGTCATTTACAGGCAGATACACCAGCATACAGATTTACTGTTTGTGTGTTGTATGGAAATAAGTTACTAAAAGCTCTGTGAGTTTCATAGATGCAAACTCCTGGGGGGGGGGTTGGGAGTTTGCATCTATGAAACTGTATTGTTTTACAGTACCATTAGTACTAATTCAATTCCTTACCCGCTTGTAGTCAACCATTTTTAAATGCTCCTGTGTGCTTTTGCCTGCGCGCTATGGTTTCGTATTACAAAACCACAAGCTTATTTACAACGTGTTTTTGCGGCGTTGAGTATTGCAGCCAATCACAGGCTTCGATGTTGAAAGCAACGGCCAATCAGTGGTGTTTACTGTAGGTTAGGCAGAATCCGCTCTGAATTAATTTTTGTTTTTGCAAGTTTATAGAGTTCTTCACGCTCGCAGATCTACCTGTTATAACGAGAATGAGAGAGAGCGAGAGAGAGAGGGACAGAGACAGAGAGAGAGAGAGAAAGCATTCACATGGTGTAAATAAGAGATTGATTGTGTAGTTATTCGTTGATTATATCAGGAGTTTTCGTGTGAGTAAGCTCGCTATTAGGAGAGCGCCCTTTGCTCGGTTTCTCTATATAATCCATTGACAATTTGAAGAAGAGTTTTGTTTGTCTAAGAGGACAGAATGTCCATGCATACTGTTTTAGGAGTGACAAATGCGAGTGAATACGCTAAATTGTTTCGCCAGTCATTGCTATGATTGACAGTGATAACTGTAATACTGGGCGGAATGAACTTTCTACTGTAGAGTAAATTCAGAGCCTGAATATATTTGGCAGCTTCTATAGTTAAAGATAAAACTTAAAACATTCTTTTTGATGTGTCCTTTTTAAGGCAGTGTTTAAAAAATGTAGTTTTTAAATTAAATCTAAAAATATTTCAAAATATTTAATGCATTATTATTTTATTGTACTTGCTATACTACTTCAGAACAGTACTAAAATTTGTTATAATAGTCATTTCTCACCTTTTTCACCCATGATGAGTTTGCATCCCTGGAGTTTGTTTGCGCAAAATTACTTTTTAGACACATTGCAGATAACATGCAATCGTCCTTGGCTATGTAACTGAGGGAAAGTGGACCACATTTACTGTCCAGTCACACTAAATAAATGTTGTTTATCTAGAACAGATGAACTAACAGTATGTTCTGTTAGGAAATTACAGTTTAGTTTTTTTCTTTTTTTTTTTTAGTTCATTTCTTCAACAAACTTAAATGTCAATTTATAGGGAGTACCTTGCTCAAAGTGAATGTGTATATACTGTACACTACTGTTACTGTTAGTAAGGTTGTTGAAAAAAATTATTTTATTCAGCAAGGACCCATTAAATTGATTAAAAGATACAGTAAAGACATTTATTATGTTACTAAAGTTTTTTTTTTATTTTGAATAAATGCTTGTTCTTTGAACTTTCTAATAATTAAAGTATCCTGACACACTATTTTCCTATTTAATGCTATAAAGTTGCTTTGACAAAAAAAAAAATTTGTTTTCGACAATATTAAGCAGCAAACCGTTGCAAATTATTTCTGAAGGATCATGTGACATCGAAGACTAGAGTAATGGCTGCTGAAAATTCTGTTTGCCATCACAGGAATACATTTAAATTTAAGCATTTTTTAAATGCTATTTTAAATTGAAATATTTCACACTTTTTTTTGATCAAATAAATGCAGTCCTTCACTTAAGAGACATCTATCAAAAACATGAATATTACCAACCACAAACGTTTGAATTATAGCCTAAATGTAACTTGTGTTCTTGTCTCTCTGTTTGCGTGTTTGTAAATAGCTGCTGCCCTGGTGGACACTGCGATATGTCAGTCTGCATCAGCAGATACTAGAGGAGAGATCCCCACAGCTCTTCAGCCTCATGCTCAGCTGCATCGAGAAAGGCAAGAAAACACGCACACACTGTTGTGTAGTTCTTTTTTCACTGAGAGAGCAGTGCAGAACCAAATAGAGTTCTGGAAGTAGAAACTCCATTCCAAATAATTCCCTTTTCTTCAAAGAGGAGTTGATTTTTAGAGATAATGTAACTCTTTCAAGATAGACCAGTTATGAACTACAAAGATCATGCTTCTGAGTTGTTTCATTTCCAAATTCCCAGGGAAGTCCTACATTACTAATAATCCTGAAGTGAGTTCCACCAATCGGAGAATTTGCTGTTGATGTGAAACAACACAGTTTTTTTTTTCTTCCAATTTTCAAATACGTTTTTGCATCAAACCGAATGTCGAGGTTAATCTCAGGTTGGTTTGACTCAGGTCTTAATGATTTTTGTTTTAAATGCATGATTAAGCATTTATAGGAATAAAAATTAGGGATTTCAGTAGAGTCTTGAAATACAAAGGTATAATAGCTTAGCATGGCAAAGCAGTCAGCATCATCAGTGTTAGTCAACAATCATCAATGGCAGTTTTTTTTTGGACCTTGTATCTATTGGAATATAATTTTTAAACTGACTTCAAACTGGGGTCCTTGGGGGAAATTGGAATCAGAAGTGTTTAACAGGATTTCAGATCTCAGCGCTGCTTCAGATTTCTTCACAGCTCAGGTCCTGACGTCACTTCAGCTGCTGAAGGCACATGTCAGCGACGCGAGATGCTCTTTAGCGGAGAGATGACACAGCTGTCAGCTCTTATTAAGTGGGTCATTTTTAAGGAAGCTGATGTCAACTCGGGGGCGACGTTGAGATTCAGGCTGTGTGTGTGTTTTGGAGTTGTGTGTGTGTGTGTTTATTTCTCTGCAGTGACAGTGACAGCGTTAGTATGAGCCGATGATGTCAGCACTTAATGTTTGTGTGTGAAATAGAGATGCAGTGACACACAAAAGGTGGAGTAACTTTGAGGTTTCACAATGCTTGTGATCTGAGTGTGTTGGAACAGATTTTGTTTTCTGTAGACCAAACCTCCTCACAATGATAGTAAAATGTGAACATTGTGAAAAAGTGAATGTACATTATGGGACCCACCCAATGGTTCCCATGATAACCACTTCCATCAGGATTAACAAGAGAAGAGTTCTGTAGCTTGACCTTATGAACTTAAACATAATACAGGTTTCTGCTTTATTGTGCCAATTCTGGTATATTTCAGTGTGCCATTGAAAATCCTGTAAAGTGTGCATTTCCCTTTGGGCTAATTCATTACTTCTGTTCATTTGTTGTTCGTTTCAGAAGGATTTGGATTTTTAGGAAAAGGATTTCACACTCATCAGGATTATGTTACCTCTGACATAACATAAGATGACACCCTTGTGTCAGACGGCCCTCCTTCAACCCTCACACACAGTCAGATTTAATGACATTAAATATGGATGTGTATATGAATTTACATTTGTCAAAAAGTTTGTGGTCAGTAAGATCTTTTTGGTTTACTTTTTTTTTTTTTTTTTTTTTTCTGTTGCAAATAAATCTTGTTCTTTTGAACTTTCTATTCATCAAAGAATCCTTATAAATGTATAAGTTTCCACAAACATATTAACCAGCATACCTGTTTTCAAAATTGATAAAAATAAGAAATGTTTCTTGAGCACCAAATCAGCATATTAGAATGATTTTTGAAAATTCAGCTTTGCCATCACAGGAATACATTATTTTAACATATGAGTATGTAATATGGTATTCTATACAAGCACCATGCAACGGTCATCTTCTATATAAATATATATATATATATATATGTATGTATGTCTGGAATAAATGTCTGAAATTAATCTCAGGGGGACAGATCAAAATAGTTTTAATATTGTCTTGTTACAAAACAAAAAAAATATATAAAAAATGAACCTGAAAAAAAGAAAAGAAAACATTAAAAAAAAAAATTTTTTTGATGTTGCTGAGAGTTAGAATTTTTTTTTTTTAATTTTTTATTTTTTATTTTTTAAGTAATATCATAAAAATCAAAGCATTTTTACTAGAGATGTCAGACGTTTGGATGTCTCCATCTCAAAGAGTTGATTGGGAGTCATTCAGTTGCTCAGATAATAAAAAAGCCCCTACCCCCACCTTTGGAAAAAGATTTAAGTATATGAGATTAATTAGTCAATGATGCAGACAGAGACCAATTCTACTGTAAAGCAGCTCTAAAAAAACAATAGTGTCATTGTTAATTGTGTAAAGATCCTCATTTATGAAATGACTTAAATTCATCTGTAAAGCAGCTCTGTAGAAAACAGTCATGTCATCGTTCAGCTCCGTTCAGTTCTCATCCAATAGTGTCTGTGCGATCAAGTCAATAATATTGCTGAATATTAAGTGTCCCCAAGCAAGATAGAGGCGACAGTGTCCAGAATCCAAACTCATTCTGAATATTCATCCAGTTTCTTCTGCTTGAAGATTGGCATACATCATATGGTAGAGTTGTCAAAGTTGGCCACAGGGGCTGTGCAGAGGACAAAATGTTATGTTGCCGATAGTTTATAATTAATTCAAGATTGAAAATACTATGAATTGCAAATGTATCATAATATTCAACATCTTGATGAAATTAAAAGGTCTCCGCATCAAACACGAGGTAGCACTTTCCTTTTAGTACTTTGTGTGAACGGAAGCATTAATTGTAGATGCCCTTGAAATGGTGTTTGAGGCTGAAAAAAGCAAGTCAAAGATTGCATTGCTTTAGTGGCAGGATATAGACCCATTCCTCTGAAGAGTTTTGGATGTTAATGTGGATTCACTAGGGAATCACAGACCAAATGATGAGCTCTGCAGCAAAGCAGCATCTTAATTGGGTTCCTTTGCCTTCGGAATGAGTTTCCTGTGCTGCCTTTTAATCAGACACGCATCAGCTACACCCCAATATAGATAATCAGCAGAGATGTTAAGATGCGATATTTACAAGAGGATACAGGCGATAATTCTGTCTTGTATTAGTGAGTGGATCTGCTTCAAAGGATCCTAACATCATGCCTGTCTCTCATGGCACACTGGGCTGAATTTGCAGAATGATGTTATATTTGTGAAGCTTTCAAAGCTGAAATAACACCTCGCAGAGGTGTGTTGTCAGTTCCACTATTGACTGCCAAAAGTGTTCACTGTCCTTCACAGAGAGTTGTGGGGAATTTAGGGGATCCCCAGGGATTAATTTCAGCCGACACTGACTGCCCGGCCTCAGAGGCATTTTATACCGTTTTAAATGTTAATAACATGAAGTTGAATATCTGGACATGGACTTTATACCATACACGAGTAGTGTAGGACTAACAATTTTTAAGGTTTCCATATCTTTGTTCATTCTTCATTTTCAAGTATAGCTTACGCCTGTGGTTTTCAAGTTATGAGAAGCCATATTTTTGAGGGAAATTGAAATCATGTCTGCCAAATCAAACCTGGCATATAGACGATATATTCTGGAACCTGTGAAGTTTCTGTTCCGTTTGCATACAAAGATGTTTTTGCATGTATATATTCGCTACATTTCAGTGGCTGAATGCAAGATTTTATATGAATGACTATTTCAAACTGTTCCTGAAATGGCTGTCGTTTGACTTTAGGAGACGAGGTGTATGGAGAATTTCATTTTTACCTTTTTAGACAAAAAATTGACAATTGACTAGGATTGACAATTGCAATTGCCTCCCTTATTCAACAGGAAGACAAAATTAGCATGAGGGTGAGTAGATTGCAAAAGTGTAATTTTTGGATGAATTCCTTCATTACAGCGATGTGTTTAAAAAAAATATATAAAAATTTTAAAGCAATTTTTTCTGTTATGGATTTTTGCAATTTAATTAGTTTAATTTGCCTTTCATTATAAACAAAACATTAAAAAGTACACATACCATCTTTTTTAATAGAGCGTTTTTCATTATTTAGCAGAAGCATTGACAAAGTTGAAAGAAAATGGCAAAAAGCTAATTTTACTTGCAAAATCTGACAAAAGTATTGATTAGCTTTCATGAAAGGTGTCTTATTTTCTAGTCTTGAAGAGTGCTTGAAAAAGTAAAAAAAGAACTACTGTCTTATGTGGAACCAATCAGCTAAAATGTTTTTTGTGTTTTGAAAGAGCAGCTCTCTAAACCTGAATGCCTGCAGAGTTGTAAAATTAGCATTGATTAACTGCTAGTTGTTCATGGATTACTAACACTGTGAAGCAGACTGTATCGACCAGCAGGAACAAACAATATCTAATATTCCCTTCACAAATAACAGCAGTCTTACAAACGAGATGAATTCCTCTCGAACTGCTCGAACGTGATCTGTAAGGTGTGCCTTGCTTGGCTTTGTAAAATCCAGTTGAATCAAGCAGTTTAATCGAAGTCTTGTAAAGAGATTTGATAACTTTATATGATGAACAGATTTAATCTTGGCTTTTATTTACGTCTAAACAATGATGTACACACACATACATGGAACACATTACATATAGTAAACACGGAAGGTCAAACATGCATGTGTTATGCACAAGCGGCAGTGAGGTTTGTTCTGGCATGTTTACCATATGTGACCCTGGACCACAAAACCAGTCTTAAGTTGCTGGGGTATATTTTTAGCAATAGCCAAAAAAACATTGTATGGGTCAAAATTATTGATTTTTCTTTTATGCCAAAAATCATTAGGATATTAAGTAAAGATCATGTTCCATGAAGATATTTTGTAAATTTCTTACCATAAATATATCAAAACTTCATTTTTGATTAGTAATATGCATTGCTAAGAACGTCATTTTGACAATTTTAAAGGCAATTTAGATTTTTTTTGCACCCTCAGATTCCAGATTTCAAATAGTTGGATCTCAGCCAAACATTGTCCTATACTAACAAATTTCGAGAAATTGACCCTTATGACTGGTTTTGTGGTCCAGGGTCACATATGCGATGCATTCTAGTTATGTTTATCTGTGAATAAAAGCCTAAATTAAATATTTTCATCAGATAAAGTGATTGTATCTCTTCACAAGACTTAGTTTAAACGGCTGGATTAATTTTATGACATCTTTTTGGATCTTGCTTACCTGGACTTCCAATAGAGGGACAGAAACTGCTCAGGTTTCATTCAAAATATCTAAGTTTTTGTTTTGAAGATTAACCTTAAAGTCTTATGGGTTTGGAATAACTTGATGGTGAGTAAATGACAGAATCGTTCATTTATGGGTGAACTATCCCTTTAATTTTCAACAAATTTTGCAAAGTTGACTTCAAATTCATATTTTTGGCGTGTTTTAGGAAAAAATGAAATCAGCATAGAGCTTGTCTGAGTGGGAAACTCTGCTCCAGAGTTATACCAGACAAAAAGATGTTATAATTATTCTGTAACTGCTTTGTTTGATCAGGAAACCCATCTTTACATGGCCGTTTCGCCTTTCATGCATACACATATGTATAACCATACACACACACACACACACACACACACACATTCTTTTAGCCTCCGGGCATCAATTTGCTGCAGGAATGGCTACATCTAAACAATCAACACACCTGCCTCTCAAATCCTCTGGACTGTTAAATTCATTACCCAAACAGCTATACAGGTTTGCTTTGTCCTTAATCTAGCTGGCTGAGCTGAGTGTGGAAGGGAATATCTGAAATATCTGGTTTGCAATTTCCCAGTTTGAGCAGCATGGGTGGCTTATGGATTGGTCCAATGGGATGAGAGACTGGGACCTCTGTTAAAGTCATTACTCAAACAGCTATACAGGTTTGCTTTGTCCTTAATCTAGCTGGCTGAGCTGAGTGTGGAAGGGAATATCTGAAATATCTGGTTTGCAATTTCCCAGTTTGAGCAGCATGGGTGGCTTATGGATTGGTCCAATGGGATGAGAGACTGGGACCTCTTGCTACCAGGGACCTCAAGCAGGGTCAACCTAGAAATAAATGACCAGACATGTAAAATTTAATTTTTTGTGCTTGAGTGCATGTGAGTGTATGTTGCCACCTGTGAAATAAAGTGATATGTGTTCATGACCCCTTTTAAACATTAACACGTTATTGCAGCTTTGTACTTGTACTAGCTGTGGTGCGTTGCTGTCTCTTTTGCAATGTGTAACTCTTATGCAACTTTATATCTTGCAATTGCAAGTTTATTCGTCATATTTGCTATCTAATTTTGTTAGTACATCTCCCACTGAGGGCCTCACAGGAACATAATCCATCCTTGCTGACCAGATGTCATTATGGACTGCATCTCTACATGCTTTAACTGTGCACTGTGAATAAGAGAATAAGAGAAAAATATAACCTCATATCATATCTGTACCCAATTAGTCATTTCTTTCACTTTCTAGAATAAAACCTCAAACACAGTTGATTTTTTCCCCCTCTTAACACACAGGCAGAGATACTTGCTTTCATTTGATGACGTTTGAAGATGTGACATTGAAAGTAGGCTGCATGTATGATAAATTCAAAATTATAATTTCAGCTATTTTAGTCAGCATATACTTGAGGCTCTCTGTGATATTTTTATGACTGCTTTTCCCGCAGCTTTCTTTTTTGTTAACAAGAGCTAATTGCTGTTTGTGTCACATCGCTTTGTGAAAGGTAAGAAATGAGCGGTTCTCTTAGTTCTGCACACGCAAATACATGTGCGTGACTCGCCCATAAATGATCTGGAGCTGTTGGTGTATGTGAGGAAAGGTGCTGCTTTCCCATGCTAAGTGAGCTTTAATCTGCAATGAGGGGCTTTAAAACACTCAGATCCTCACACAGATCACGCTGAAGGTCACAGTGAGTGTGTAAGCTGAGCTTTATGAAGGTTCTTTAGCATTCACATTTTCATACATACAATATTGGTGAAAGTGGATGTGCAGCTATGGACTGAGAGAGAGAAAGAATTTAAATTGAACCATTATTTATTCAGGTTTTCTTCCTTCCCCTTTCCATTTTTCTTCCTTCCTTCCTTTCTTTCTTCCTTTTTTGTTCTTTCTTCCTTTTTTGTTCTTTCTTCCTTCGTTCTTCATATCCACTTTCCTTCCACTTTTTATTCCTTCCTTCTTTTCCTTCTTCCTCCTTTGTTTTTAGTTTAGGTCCCTGTGGGTATCCAGCCATATACTAACGATAGTGATATAATATAGGCAGTAGGTTTATTCCCTTGCAGTGCAGCCTCATACTGTATCTGTGATCATCAGAATTATTATCTATCTATAAATGTGCAATGCATTATGCAACCATTTAGCATTGTCCTCTGGAGATATGTGGCAATATAATAAATGCTGAATATATATATGAATATATAGAGGAATGTGTAAAAATGTCGATTTTGTCACTAATGGACTGGTACTCTGTTTCTGTAGTGTGTAAATATGAGGAGCTCTTCACCAACAACACACACAAGAACCTGGCCATTCAGTTCCACCTGGAGTGTAGTTATACCTGCCTGACCTACTACGAGTATCGCAGGGCCAAAGAACACCTGCAGACGGCCCGCAGTCTGTCAGGAGTCGATGTTAACATGACAGGTAAGAAATGTAATGTAATGTCAAGAAAAATGATTGCTCTGTGCAGGTAATTGAAGGATGGATAAACGGCAGTGCGTGACTGAACTAACAGGAAGATGAATGATTTAAAGAAAATATGGATTACCCAGTAGTGTGAATGAGTAAAGAATTGATGGAATGCATGAATGATTAAATAACTGTTTGTCTCTCTCAGGTGCTTTAGGGAAGAGAACTCGCTTTCAGGAGAACTTTGTGGCTCAACTCATCTTAGATGTGAAACGGAAGGACAATTCACCTGTTCCGAATTTTGAGAGTCCCTCCCTCACACCAACACCTAAAGAACTCTTACCAAAGGTACATGGAGGGTCTAAAATGATCTTAATGTCATGACAATGGCAGGTGTATTGAGTGAAATCATAGACGATTTTATTAAAAAAATGTTTTTTTTTTTTCCAGTTCATTTTTAATTTTAATTTAATTGATTTTATTGTATTTGTTCTGTTACAATGAAATTATTTAGCTGTTGTCACCAGAGCATCATATGCAAGATGAGTATATGTAATATGACTATATATCTTTTCTTTATTTTACTATTCGTATGTCATTGGAATCACATGCAGGACTTACATGAACGATGGTCATTTCTACATTTTCTACTCTTATTTGACACTTGACGAGTGATCATTTTGGACCCTGGTGCATAAATACCCGTCACAGTCCCTGTGGGGCCAAGAATGGTGCAGTACTTATCCCATCCATCAGGGGGCGACATTTATTCTTGTGCTGACAGCAGACGTGACATTGAGCTGCAGTGAAGGTCGTGAAAAATAAATATTATGCAGATTTCCATCTGTCTCATTCTTTCCCGTCTTCCTCACGCTGTCTCTCTCCCCTCACCCTGAGGCAGTTGCTTTACTTTTATTGCACTTTTTTGGACGGCGGTTGAGTTTTATCTGGTGTTTGGCTGTTCTGTGCAGTGGCATTGCTCTGTCTGGTGTTATCTGCTTTGGCTGCAAAAATGACAAATTGGGGACAGACAAAGATTTTGCGGAAAATTCCCGACCTTATCTCTGTTTCCCCTTACCTGGCATCATTTTATGTGTTGTGGCCCTAAAAAGTGCATTAAATACTTTTTTCCAGGATGGCTTGAGTTTTCGGATTAAATGTGATAAGATCAATATTGCTTACAAACTCTGAGATGATAGCACTCCAGTGGGTCTTGGTTGTCGTTTGTCTTTGTGTGAAGGTAGAGTATCTGTGCGTGAGAGCTGTCAGACTTCATTTCATGGGAATTGAATTTGAACATCAACAAATTAGATTTTAAATAGGCTAAAGCAGAGGAACATGTTCATTTGCATATGCCCCACCCCAGCTAATAAGTATCAATGCTGACTATGATTGATTTCTTGATGCATGAGCTAGCATCGTTTTCTCATTTCAGGTAATATTTCAGGAAATAACCCTTCTAAAGGGATTATATTAAGCTAAAGGCTTGTTTTATTATACTTTAATAATGTGAAGTTCGATAAGAGGATGGACAATGTTATTAAAGCTGCTCATAATACAATAATAAATATGTCATGTTGCTATAACTGATAAAACAGTTTTTAAATTGTTGTTTACTTTCTCCTTTTTCACTTATCTAAACTGTGATCTGTATTTGTCATACACTTTTTAAGGTCTTTTTGGGATCCGCTTTGGTTCTCATGCCTGTGTCTGTCTGTGTCTTTATAGGATCATCAGTTGAGTGATGATACAGTCCTGAACCAGATTAACCTGGCAGAACCACCTGAATATGAACTTCTAGACCTCAACGCTGAGGAACAGGCCCTTATACTGGCCACTTGGTGAGTGTCTGAATCAATATGGATATGTGCTGTTTCAATGGTGGCTGTAGTAACAGGATGGGCACCAGTATCTAGGTACTCTGAAGTGACAACAGTGATCGATCATGAAGCACAGTAATTGCATCCTGACTGTTTTTTTGACTTCAGAACATTTCATACAGATTGAAATGCAGTAATGACTATACACAGATACACAAAAGCGGCCTCTTTGTTATTTATTGTATTTTTTTTATTTAAAATTTTTATTTTATTTTATACAAGTTTGATTCTGAATTATAATGTAATGTTTAGTATTTATATTTTTCTATTTGTGTAATTAACAAAAAAAAAAAAGTTAATTATATTTACTTTTTTTACTCTCATCTGTAAAATGGAATGATAAGGGTGTGCAACGGTGCAAAAGTTGTGAGACCTGGTGCAATAGCCAAATATGTCCATCCAATATATAGACCAACAATTAAAAATCAGATCAAAATGGTGCAAATTCCCCACCCCCACATACTCAAGTAGACATTACTAAACTAACTTATAACTGCAAAACAGTAACTGTGTGCTGCTCTTTATTATAGATATTTAAATCACCATTCCTTCAGTTTTATTAAAACAGTATTTTACGTTTATTTTAATTGAAGCCACATATGAATTTGCAAGGATGTTGCTGTGAAGGTAAAAGTTCCACTTTTATGGAAGTTTTAAGTCTTGCAGAGGAATTGCATATACCGCCACTGTTAAAAGTTAAATGAAACGCATCACATTTTTGCCACAAGTGTGTGTATATGTGTCTTGGTTTGTGACACTTTATTATAGACAGTTTTAAGAGTCTACCTTGTGCATGTGAGATTGAACATACTTCTGAAAATCAGGTTGGTAAAGCCCAAGCCAAGCTGTTTTACGAGTATGACTTCAACAGGTCTTTTGGCTGAAATGTGCTTAAATTCATAGACCCAAAAATGCAAGGAAAAATTGTCTCTCTTTCTCCTCATCCTTGAGATTAGTTTTAGTAGCTGTAGTATTTCATTGTAGTAGTTCCTGACTTTTAAAGCTGCAGCTCGACATTAATCATGTTGGGGATGTGTAAATCGTTGTTATTGAGTCTTGTTTTATCTTAGTAACTTTGAAGTGCTGCGTCAAGCCTTCGTCTTGCGGAATGTGTTTTTGTGCCCAAGTGCACATTGATAGCGGTCTTCTCCATCCTGAATAAAAAAGCCTATGGTCATCCACCCCCATCTCAGCCCCGGGAGGAGGTGTGGGGTTCTCCTACACTGTTCTCTAATTAGCTTTTTACCAGCCTGTGCGCCCTATTTGTTGTAGAAAGGTCGTCATCCTGCCCGACTGGCTGCTAGGAGACAAATTGCAGGCGTGGAATAATTAGCAAGGCGTAATTATGCAGGCCAGGGACCTTAATTGGGCTGCGTGATGGTTGAAGGTGAATTATGGACCGTCATTGGTGCAGTCGAGCAAAACCGCACGTACGGTTTAACGGCATTCTGTTGGAATGCGAACAGTCTGCCGTACATTTACTAGCCCTGGCTAACGTAAAGAACTGTGACTCAAATGAGAAATTCAGACAGTTACACCTTGAGGAAAGTAGCTGGAGTTACCTAGAATACTGAGTTATGGTTATAATAATAGGATTAAATAATTGAACTGCTGAGTGAGGGTTGAGATGTGCAAGCTCATATTATATCCTTTTGACTGTCTGTGACCACTTTGTTTTAATGCCTCTACTACAGTAGGCCTGGTGAATTTCATGAAATGCGGGGGTCGTAACCCAAATGCAAAAAAAAAAAAGCGTAGGTTTAAGATCTATGGTACTTGCTTGAACTTAGTTTTCATTCATTTCTTTTAGTAAATGAAGCACAAATTACTGAGAGAATCTTCTAAGTAAAAATTATATGTTTATGCCTTACAGTAATAATGTCATTTATGCAAAAAATCATAATGGAAGGATTATTTATTAGTTTTTATTCTTTTGGTTGTGGATTGAAACTTTTTTCAATTCACAATGTTTAATGAGCATTTGTGTCCTTGACCTGTGAACTAAAAGGAACGTGTGCTGCTTTTATGTGCAGATTTTTTTGATTGATTGTGGTTTGTTGCTTTGCAGCATAGACTTTCAGAAGAATAATCCAGTTCACAAGCTAAATAACGAGGAGCTCCTGGCCTTCACGACGGTAAGACGCACGTTTTTCTATCTTTCTCTTACAGCCACATCTCTTATCAGTACACACAGTTGTATTTTCAGACTGACAGACGGGATGTATGTAAACTGTAAATTCACTGCACATTTGAAATGATCCCCACACTTTTAAAAAGTTTGAACAATCTGGACAATTGAGGGGCCCGTACATAAAGCTGTGTCGTTCATTGATTTGTGAGGAGACAACACATAATATTAAGAACCAAAATTTAACCCAAATTTAAGTTATTATATTTTAGAATATCATATTAATTTTTTGTAGGCAAAAAAGAAAACATTAAAAACGCCAAACGGATTCTGCAGGGGTATGTAAATGTATGAGATTATAAGTCTTTTTGACATCTGTATGCTGTTGAAGATTTGACTTTGTAATGTCAGAAAGACTAAGATTTGTTATTTTGACATGTCATTATATTTTTAGGTGTAGCAGATTTTGACAGCTTGGGTGAGAATGATAGACCGATTGAAAACTGCCTGTTTCCTTTCAGCTCATTCACTCAAAACTCACGTTACAGAAGAGTGAAAAGCCATCAGAAACCTAAACGCCTGGTCAGTTATGAGGAGGGCAAAACTCACTTACTGAAACTGAGCTGGTGAAGACACTTCTCTTCCAGCAGGCCAAATTGTCATCCTCGATTATCTTTAAGCCACTTCCTGGTATTTAATTAGTTCAGTGTTTCAGCCACAGCCACACACAAACAATTTGGAAAGTTACCCTGAGGGTCACTTCTTTTAATCTGTAGCAAGCATCCCACCATTAAGATGTGGAAACAATGATGTGGTTATTCTTATTAGCAAACACCCTCAACAAAAGCACTGCATATGTTCTGCTTAATCGATATGTACCGGTGTACTGCAAATGAAACCCTGCAGCAGAGGCGTGCCTGTAAGGACAGTCATGGCTCAAAACGACACTGTCTACATCTGTTGTGAACATCATTTTTAACTAGCAGCAAATTAGCATACGAGTTTTTAAATCCGCACCCTCTGCCCACCAACAGCATCAATTATTTATAGTCTGTTATTGCGGATGACAGTTGTGTGTGATTTGTCCATTTACATGTCTCTGACAGCAAAATCAACCACTTGAGAATCACAGCTGTGTATCTCGCTATATTGTGGAGGTGCCATGTTAAAGCGCTTGTATTCTAAACTAATATTCTTTATTTATGCATGTCCGTAGTCAACTAAGAACGCGTCTATAGAGCCATAGAAACATGAGTTGTTTAAAAAAAAAAAAGTTGTCAAGTTGTGCCATGTCAAGGGGTGAGCTCAGTCAATGCGTAAAATGTAGTAAAAAGTAAAATATGGACATAAATGAGAAACAACTATTTACTAATGCATTTCCCCATTCCCAAGTCTTATTTTACTGAACATTTTTGCATTTTCCTTAACTGGCCAGGAAATGTTTAACATTCAGCTCTATTTCCTTTTGCTCCAGACCACCAGAGGCAGTGCTGAAAGCACTAGTGGAAAATCCCTCATGCTCGCACTTGACCGAAAACAGAATAACAAAGGGCAGCTAAGCGTTGTTGCGGAACTCCCTCTGGGCTGTGTGAGATGGAGCAGCAGTGTTGCCAAGGCTGCGGTTTTCCCGCGGAATTGGGCTACTTTATTACTGTTGCCGCGGGTTGTTTTTCATGTCCGTGGGTTAAAGTGACCCCGATAATGTGATATTTAGCCCCTGGAGTGCGAATTTTACCAGGGGAACCCCGCCAGAAATGTGTGTTTTACCCAAAGAGTTCTTCAGGATATCCACAAGCTGTTTTGTCATTGTTTACATTGCTATCAGTTACGCTATCAGTTTTCCTTTGTGAGCCTGGACTGCAGCGATCGGAGATATATTTCAGAAACATCACATTTTGTGGAGGCTTCAATCTTCTGGGTGCCTGCAAGTTTGAATGCCTCGGGAGATATGCACTCATACAGTGCCGTCCACTAATATTGGCACCCTTGGTAAATATGAGCAAAGGTGGCTGTGAAAATAAATCTGCATCATTTATCTTTTTGA